CCAATATACCACAAATAGACTACATGGTCCAACGATTTTTGCAGGGAAATATAGTAAAATTGTGTTTTTGTTTTTTTACTCGGACGTCAGTAATCTAAAAATTATTTAGAAAATTCAGTGATATGTGCTTAGAGAAGAAGTATGGGTATCAAATTAAAGACGAAGTTCTGTAGAATTCTATCAGATTAAATATTTTGGTGTATAAGGACTGGTAAGTATTGAAAATGTCCTTTTAAATTTGTATCCTTGAAAATTATATGTTAAGGACTTATATAAACTCGATAACATCCTCGTATTTTGTCCTTCTAACTTTATCAGCTTAAAAAATTACCTGTTCTTCCGTGGGAATCCAAAAAATTTTAAATTTTTAAATTTTAAAGAAATTTTCTCTTTCATTTGGTACCCATATTTTTATTCCACATTGTATTGAATTTTTTAAATAATTTTTGGAATTAATCATATCTTTGAAATTTTAAGGTCCTTGAAAATAAATCCTGACATCGCAGAGAAAAAATAAAAACGCCACTTCCCGAAAATCCAGGGATCGTAAAAAGCAAAAAATTAACATCCCTAATTCACATATTTATTTACAGTCGTCGCTATGCCTTCATGCTGCTAGAAGAATTCAAAAAAAAAAAATTCAAAAAAAAAATCCTTTTTAAATTCTCCTACTTCAGGTGCGACACAATGTGAAGCGCGGTAATTATGCCAATTTAGAAAGCAAGGATGTGGCTTTCTTCGAATCAATTGTTGGCAAGAATCATATGGTTCAAGAAGACTTGCAGGGTTACAATGTCGATTTTTTGCGAAGTGTGCGGGGTGAGTTGTTCGGCGCTGAGGGTATTGAAGCTCTCAATGCCAGACTTAGTAAAAAAAAATTCCGCTTAAATATAAATACGTACATACATACATATGTAGGTGATAGTCAACTTGTGCTGCGACCCAGCTCCACTCAGGAGGTATCCGCCATACTGAAGTACTGCAATGAACGGAAATTGGCGGTTTGTCCGCAGGGCGGTAACACTGGCTTGGTAGGTGGTTCGGTGCCGGTTTGTGATGAAATTGTGATTTCTTTGGCGCGACTCGACAAGATTCTACACATCGATGAGATCACTGGTATAGCGGCGTGTGAAGCCGGTTGCATACTGGAGAATTTGGATTTGAAAGCGAGAGAATTGGGATTAGTAGTGCCGCTCGATTTAGGCGCCAAGTCAAGCTGTCACATTGGCGGTAATGTATCTACAAATGCTGGGGGATTGCGTGTATTGCGTTATGGTAATCTGCATGGCATCGTATTGGGAGTGGAAGCGGTAAGTATTTAGATATTGATTAAAAAAAGTTTGTGAAATTCGTAATGAGTTCAATCTCAGGTTCTAGCTAGTGGCGAGATACTCGATCTCATGTCTGACTTCAAAAAGGACAATACAGGCTATCATTTGAAGCATCTCTTTATTGGTTCTGAAGGCACACTGGGCGTGGTGACCAAAGTCTCTATGTTGTGTGCGCCGCAACCACAAGCACAGCATGTAGCGTTTTTGGGTAAGCGATTATATATTTGGAGGGTTAGATAATAAAATGACAGAGCTTGCTGGTGAACAATAGGAGGTTAGTCTTACATATTTTTATGTTTGTATATAGATTATCGGTGCGTAAAAAAAATCGAGAGTTAACTTCACTCTGTAATAAACCCCCCCCTCACAAATATGAACCGCTTGAAACTCTGCTCGTGGCCTTCCGTCAACATAAAATTCTATAGGAAGAGCCTTTAAATGGATTGGGACTTACTTTAGGCAGGTTATAGATTCCCTAGAGTGAGAAGTTTTGGCGGATCTAACTCCATGAAAAAACACTTCTATCAAAGGGATAATTACGGATTCCGAACTTATGAGTACAGCCCTGCTTTTGGTGTGAAAGTGGTGTGGCAGTGAGGGATTTAGCATGAATACGCAAAAATCTGCTCTTGTTATTGTTGTAGCAACAGTACCAAGCTCCGCCTACGTCGGTTGGTTTGTCCATCAATCGTTGTCGGGAAACGTTCAGAAAAGAGGTGGTTGGTGTCGTGGGGGAGTCTCCACATGCTTGACACTCATTGGGTTTATCGGAGTCCAGTCCGTATAGGTAGATAGGCTACAGTATTCAGACCGCCACTGGGTAAGAGTAACGGCGGTTCGCACGTGACAGCTGAAGCTCCGTTGTCTGCAATAAGTAGAGATTGGGTTCCTATCACGGCATTCATGGGGCGAGAGTCGCAGAAGGTGGGTACGGACTTTCTATGATTGCCGTCGATAGCTTATCTGTAAGGCGTCGGATCCAACGGTTATTCTGTGTAGGTATGGACAGCGTCATTGCTCGGGGTGTTCATCATCACAATTGGTGTGCCATCGACGTGATTATCTAGTTGAAGCCTGATTTCGTCGGAGAGAGAGTTAGGCTATGTGGAGTGAAGGAGAGGAGAAAGTTCGGAGAGGTGACCGTTTACTTTCAAGCAGAGGTCATTAATTCCAAATGTCAAACAGTCACTCAATTAATATTTTCATAAAATTTTTTATACAAAGGGACAATTAGCCAAAATTTGCTAAAATATATACAAACATATGTAAGTATGTTTATACACTTTTCCACTTCTTTAATTTTCAGGTGTGCCCTCCTTCGATGATGTTCTCAAAACTTTCCGCCACTCCAGGCAATTTTTGGGTGAAATCCTTTCCTCCTGCGAAATGATCGACGCCGCTTCCTTAGATGCCAGTGTAAACCACTTCAAACTCAAGTAAAATAAAACTACTGCCAAAGATCATTCAAAAAAAAAACTTATTTTTTTCTCTTACCCATCCAGTTCACCAATCGAAGGCTATCCATTTTACATGCTAATTGAGACTTCCGGCAGCAATGCTGAACATGATATGGAAAAATTTAATCGCTTTCTTGAAAATGGCATGGAGAAAGGACACATTATTGATGGCACTATAACAGCGGAGGTGGGTAAAATGCAAGAGATCTGGAAGTTACGTGAACTGGTGCCGGTTGCGCTTGTAGAAGATGGCTTCTGTTTCAAATATGACATCTCTTTGCCATTGCGTGAGTTTTATCATATTGTTGATGTGATGAAAGAACGCGTAGGTGGTTTGGCGACACGCGTTTGCGGTTATGGACATTTGGGTGAGACTTTAGAAGTTGGAAGTTTTGGACTTAATATCGAACAGTGCGTCTATTTACAGGCGATTCCAATTTGCATCTGAATATCTGTTGTCCAGAGTTTACACAAGAAATCTATAAATGCATTGAACCCTTCGTCTACGAGTATACAGCGCAGGTTAAGGGTAGTATTAGCGCTGAGCATGGCATTGGTTTTCTAAAAAAAGAACTATCTGAAATACAGTAAAAGTCCAGCTGCCATTGCCAAGATGCGTGAGATGAAAAAACTTTTGGATCCCAATGGCATCTTGAACCCGTATAAGGTGCTAAATTAAAAAGTAATCGAGGACTAAGATTTATGTGTAGATATGAATATACATACAAAAACATATATGGGGCAAAATTCGCCAAGTGGACCAGGAAAATAAATTTATGGCATCATTTCGATCAAGTAAAGGATTTGTATTAGTAAAAGATATTAAATTTGCTATCAACTGCTTCAACAACAAAACAAGAAATTTAGGAAAAACTTGTAGTCCCTTTGCCACGCCCAATACAAATTATATATCGTTGGAAAGCTTAGAAAGTAAGCTATCGAAATAAGCTGTTTGTGAAAAAAAAGGAAAAATTTATTTTTTTTTGTAAAAAAAACATGTATTTTTTTGTAAAGAAAACATTTTAGCAAAAAATTATAGTTTTTACCAAAAAGCACGGAAAAAGTTCTAATAGGTCAGCAATTTTTGATTCTCTATCATAAGTGTGACATGAGATAAGAATTTTAAGAAAACTTGTGACTACGAAAAAGGGCTGAAATTTGCATTTTTAAACTCATTTAACCTGACAAAAAACCGCGGTAGAAAAAAATTATTTTACACATTGGTTACCAGTAACCATAGCAACAACATGGTGGAGTTTGAAAAAAA